CATTTCACAGGGGACCTTGTCTATTTTGCCCCCTACTGATCTCCCTAGTGCCTGGTTCTATGCTCAGGATCAACCAACTGTTGAAGGGGTAGATACAGAACCCCAATAAATACAAAGCCACTCTGTCCAAAGCATACCTTCCTTGGAAAACCTTAACAGGACTCTCCCAGAACCTTGGGCTTAGAGGAAAATGGTCCAAACCTCTCATTTTACAAATGAGCACACTAAGGCCCAGCAAAGAGCTTTGCCCAAGTTCCCACAGTTAAAAAGTGAAGGAGTCTTCTCTCAGCTTCTGAAAACAGCCCAGGGACAACTCATAGCCCAGGGTGACCAGTTTGGGCACCAAATTTATGCCAACCAGTTACCACAGGTGGGGTATGATCAACAAGTAGAGCAGCAATCCTCAAAATATGATCTGGGAAACCTTGGGATCCTCAAGATCCTTTCAGGGGAAAAAAAAAAAAAAATCCTTTCAGGGGGTCCCAGAGAACAAAACTATTTTTATAATAATACTAAGATGGTATTTGACTTTTATGCTCTCGTTTGCTCATATAGTTTTCCAAAAGATACATGATATGATGACATCATCATTAATGGCATGTTTGTGTATTCTTGTTTGAAAATGTCTCAGTACTGCCAACATGGTAAACAGTGATAGATATAACTCCCATAAACAAAAACTCTTTGGGGTCCTCAGTAATTTTTAAGAGCATAAAGAGGTCCTCGGATCAAAGGGTTCGGAACTGCTATGGAGAGTAATGATGGAGGTGGGTGGTGCTCACGCTCAGTTACGTTCCAGAGCCCTGTCAACACCCCTCTGCCTACTCTCTCACCCTGGCCCCTGCCCCAAGATGCCCTCATCTGATGGGGGAAATTTGACTTGAGATGTCTGAAAATGTAAAGAATATCTTTCAGCATTTTCGCCCCATTTTGCCTGTCAGCCTAACTGGAAATCCTGCACCAAGTGCTTTATTATACTCATATTCTCACTTGAATCTCACAGCAACTCTAGTATGTAGATGTGAATATCTCACTGTACAGACAGGAAACTAAGCCTCAGAGAGGTGAAGTCACCTGGCCAATGTTACCTGGCTAAGTGCCAAAGTCATGATTTGCATCTTGGTCTGTCTTACTCCAAGGCCTGGGGGGTGGAGGGGGGTCTCTCTTTGTGCCAAAGAGAGAAAGCTTGAGGTTCAGGCCACCCCAGCAACAAACAGCTAACAGGATAAATGGGGTGAGAAAGAAAAAAAGAAAATCACTCACGCAACTTCCAGGCCGTCTTGGTGACCACAGGGGTGGCCATCCTTCAGTTGTCTGGTACCTGAAGCTCCACCGACAAAACAGACTGCTTTCCTCTCGGGGTGGGGGTGGATCCCCCCCAGATCCACCAATCAAGTTGGCAGGGAGTTCCCGCACATCCAGGCGGAGGGAATGCCTTTCTCCCAGCTCTGGACCAACTCTTAGTTTTAAATCATCCACAGCAGCCACAGCAGCAGCCTGTGTGCGCCTGTTGGGATCTTGGATCATGGAATGTCAGGCTTGAGCCATCTCAGCTCAACACTGGGCTGAAACACAGAGGAGATGGCTTGTTAGGAAACACTCGGTGGGAGCTCAGGGGGACGCTGATTTGCAGACTGCAGCTGTAGCTCTCTGGATCATCAAGGCTACTTGATAAAGACACCCACCCACCCACCAAAGCCACCAGAGCCTGGAGCTGCACTGCAAATTGGGTTTGAAGATCAGGAGAGAGGGCACCTCAGGCAGAATGACTTGCAACACAGGGAAAAAGAAGGTTCTCCCAGAGGCCAGGAGGAAGGGAGGAGGCTCTGCTCCAGGAGGCTGGCTGCCGGAGGTGCAGCAGCCTCAGCGGGGCGGGGAAGAGCAGATGTCTGCAGTTCAGACAGATTTCTGAGAGTCACTGTTTTGTCTGACCTATGGGAAGCGGGTGGAGTCAAGGCTAAGCTTAGGGGCCGCTGAGAGGCACCCCAGAGGCAGGTACTTAAGTCTTCTCTGCAGAGAATGTCAACCAGGGAGCTGAGGGTCCAACCCCTCGAGTCTGTGGCAAAGGAACTACTCCTGGTCCCTGAAATTCCCAAGGACAGTGCTGGGAACCAGATCTCCAGCCTGGGCATGAGTCGGTGTGATTCCTCAACTCGAAAAGGCCACCTTATGGTACCTCCTACCTACTTCCTCCAAGCCTTCTTCCCGTGAAACCTCTCCTCTCCATCCCTCTTCTCCAGGGTTGCCCAGGCCGGGTTCTCAAGTCCTCTCCACCTCCTCACGGCCTCCGGTGTCACCCATTCATACACAGCTGGTCTCCTGAGCTCCCTGACGTGACCCCTGCCTCGCCAGACCCCCTTTCCTCCTCGTTCCCCTCGGCTACCATTATCCCCATTCATTCGCTCTCCTGTTTCTAGGGTCCCTATTCATCACCCATCCTCCGGCAGACCCCCAGCTGTTTCCGGGTTTTGCCCTCAGGCCTCCCCGCCGGTCCCGCCCCTCCCGGGACTAAGGCTGGTCCCTTGGCCTCCCCCTGATCCTCCCACTCCTCTCAGCTTGCCGGGAAGGGCTCCAACCTCCTCGCGCCCGGAGCCCTCTGCGCCGCAGCCCGGCCCGGCCCGGCCCCGCCTGGCTCGGCCCGGTCCAGGGCCCACCGTACGTCCCCTCGCCTCCTCGTCCCCTTGCCCACTCCACCTGCAGCTGCGGCTCCGGAGGCCGAGGCTCCGCTCCAGGGGCGACCCCCACTTGCCTCCATCCCCTGCCCTGATTGGCCGCTGCTTGACAACCGACCCTCACAACAAAACCTCCGGCTCGGAGCCCCGCCCTCCCCGCCTCCAGTACCAATCAGCCCCCTCGGTCGCTCCACCTCTCGCCAGGTTTGACCAATCGAAGCAGGCACTTCTGCCGCTTTCCCTAAGTACCCGCCCTCTTTTCCTGAATTGGGCTAATCACAAGGAAGGAGAGTTCAAGAGCCGCCCCTCGGCCTCTAATGAACCAATGCGGGCTGCCGTTTCCTTGATCCCGCCTCCGCCTCAAACTCTCCCTTTCCTCCGCCTTGCCTTCTCTCCCTCAAAAATAGTTGGCGTTTGAAAAATTTGCGAGACGCCCTCCAATGGCGGCTGCACCAATCGCTTCAGCAACCGTCCCAGCTTGGCCAATCAGCGTTCGCATTATTGGAAACCCAATTCCCAGAGAGCCAATGGGAAAGGGACGTCGGGGGCCAAGTGAAGCCCCGGAAGTTCCATCTTGGAGTGGGGCGAAGCGGGGAGGTGTGCTCAGCCAGCCTTTTGCCGCGGTTCCTGCTGGTTCCCTTTACCTGCGGGCGGTTCGGCGATGATCTGAGGACTTTTCTCTCTCTTCTTTGGCTCCAACACCGGCGTGAAGCCCCCACAGGAGACCGAGAAGAAAACGGAGACTGATGACGACTCCGAGTCAGGCGTGGAGCCCGGGATCGCTACCCCCACGGCCGACGTCTCCTTGGCGGGATGCGTGGGCCGCTTCCTTGCGGGGATCACCGACTCGGAACCCGGGAAGCGCCGGCTTCAGTCGGGCTCGGGGGTGGGGTGGGCTCGTTCTCCACTGCACTGCACCCTCTCCGCCAGAAAGCGGCAGAGGGCCCACCCGTCACCACATTGTACTTTGGGAAGCAGGCTGCGGAGGCATTTGGGCACCATCCAGAGAGGACTCGATTAGCAGAAAAAAATCCGATCAAAACTGTCCTTCCTGTATTTCTCGACTTCTTACATGAAAACGTCATAGACGAAACTCGAGAGAATACGATAAAGATATTTAATCCTTTAATAACATGGTGATCACCCATACGCTCGCGGTGTGGGTTTCCACACTTGAGAACGTTTTGCTGTATTTGCTTTATCCGTGTGGGTTTTCTGAACCTTTTGGGAGTTGTAGACGTCTACACATTTCAGCCGGACGCTAAATACTATGGAGCATGTCATTCTTAAAAATCAGGCCCTTATCCTGCATAAGCATTGTATCACCACACCTGAGAAAACAACAGTTCTTTTCCAGTCCAGATTTTCATAATCATCCCGAAAGTATTTTTAATAACTGTTTTCCTAAGTAGGAGACGATCAGGATTCAGCACGCTTGGCTCTTTTCAGCTCATTCTATCCCCCCCCCCTTTTAAATGAAGAGATTGGGCCATTTACATTGTTGACTGTCTCAGTTATAATTTTGACTTTTCCCTTCTAGTGTCATTTATGTTGTTCCTTTCCCCCCTGAGTTTCTTGTTAAAATGGAAGTTAAAGCTTGATTAGATTCATGGTCACCATTTTGCAACACTACATTGACGTATAATACACATACCCCCTGCACTGTAAGTGTGCAGGTCGACGAATTTTCACCATCTGAACATGCTCAGGTCGAGAAGAAGATTGCCAGCGCCCCAGAAAGTTCCCCTGGTGCTCCACAGATTAATTTTGCCCTTTTTTGTTCTTTATAGAAATGGAATCATGCAGTGTGTACTTGTTTGTGTCTGGAATCTTTGACATTATTTTTGAGAAATGCAACCGTGTCATTCATGTGGTTATAGTTTGTGCGTTTCCACTGAGCCCAAGCAGGGTTTCTCAGCCTCCATCTTACTGACATTTGAGGACAGATAATTCTTGAGACCGTCTGCAGAGGTGCTGCCAAGTGCTCGGCATTCCGATGGAAAAGACAGGAAGTCAGCGAAGGTGGCCAAGGAGGGTGGAGGGGGTTGGTCCCAGGCTATAGATAAGGAAGGGAAGGAGAGAAAGGCTGGTGCTGGAGCTTGTGAAACATGAGGTATAAACTGCACATTAAAAGTGTGTTTATTCATGAGAAGGGTGAACAGATGGGCCTGCAGGGATGGGGAGTGGCAGTGAGGCTAAGCACCTAAGTCCACAGTCATTACCTGGGTGTAGGAAACGGGGAGGATGGGCTGTGGGGAACGTCTTTCTCCTGGCAGCTTAGGCTGAAGCCCCAGGAGGGGTATCAGAGGGCCAGAGATGCAGAAGGTGCATCAAGCAAAGACTTTTAGGAGCTCCACCAGGCGCGGGTCCTTGTAGAGCTTTTCCTCCAGAGCCAAGTACTTCAGCGGGGCCAGCTCCTTGTGTCTGAAATCAGAGGGAAAGGGGAGAGGTGGTGGGGGAGGAAGGTTACAAAGCTGGTGCTCCAGCTTCCAGTGGGTCCCCTCCAGCTCCCCTCCCCCCTCACCGGTTGAGCCGCTGCTCCAGGATGCGGATGCGGAACATGGCCTGAGAGCAGTAACTGAGGTACAAGTCTTCATCTTCAGCTGTCAGGGTCACCTGGTTCTCCTGGTACCACTGCTGCTTCTTCTGCAGCTCCTGGGTCTCCTGCGGGCATGGGGAGGACAGAGCAGGAGGGTTGATGAGGGCTGTCCCTCCCCAGGCTATAGATTGAGACCTCCAGTCACCAGACAATCCAGGAGGGTTGACTCCTCTATCCCCACCCACAGAAACCAGAGGAGCAGAGGTAGGGCCAAAAAAATGCCTTGAGTGGGAGCCACTGGGGTTGTGATTAGAGGAATATTGAGTCCATGAGGTCAGAGCAGGGTTCAAGATTGGCCATGGAGCTCTGGACAACTTACATTTTCAGAGCTTCCAATGTTTTGTCTGCCAAATGAGGGTCATTGTGCCCCCCACTACCACCACCACCACTTCCACCACCACCATAGAACTCTTTGTGAAGATTAAATGAGATAATACATGGCACCTGCATGGTATACTTCTAACAATGGAAATGCATCTAGGACTAGGAGTTGTTACAATGCACCATCCATCCATCCCTCCACCCATTTACCCAACCATCCATTCATTCATTCATCCACCCATCCCTCATCCCATCCATCCAACCACCCATCCATTCATTTATTTGCCCAACTTAGTCTTTTGGAAATTCCAAACAATAGCCCCTCACAAGTCTGTGAGATGGTTAGCAAACAGCCCTGGGCCCATTTTCAGGATGAGGATGCTGAGGTCCTCTCCTCTGCCTCGGCCCTGGCCGTACCTTCTCGAAACGGGCCTGGATAAGGTTGGCCTTGTCAATGAGCCGCTGCTTGAAGTCACTGAGGCACTCGTCCTTGAGACGTAAGGCCTGCCCGCGCGTCAGCTTCTCTCCTGGGGGCAGCTGTGCCAGGAACGGGGCCAGGTAGTCCAGCTGAGCCTCCACCTGCCGCAGGTGCTCCTCGTGCATCACGCGCTCCTGTGGAGGTTGGGGGTGACGGTCGGCTGGACCAGCAGGGGCTGCTGAGACCTCCCGGCCAGCTCTGCGTCAACATGTGACCACACAAAACCAGGCCTCAAACCCAGATCCCAGTGCTTGGTGCCTCTGGGACTGAGGTCTCAGAGGGGCCTGTGTGCTGTCCCTTGTACCTGTGGTTATTGGTAACAGCTAACTCTCTGTCTCACATGAATTCATGTCTCTACCTGAGTCTCAGCACACACCTAACACTCAGTAGATGCTTGCTCAGTAAATGGTAATAAATGGTTGTTATTAATGATGTTAAATCAAAATCTGCCAGTAAGGCCCAGCCGGGTGTGGCTCAGGGGTTGAGCATCAACCTAGGATCCTAGGAGATCAAGGTTCAATTCCTGGTCAGGGCACATGCCCAGGTTGCAGGCTTAATCTCTGGTAGGGGGCATGCGGGAGGCAGCTGATCAATGATAATTCTCTCATCACTGATGCTTCTATTTCTCGCTGTCCCTCTCCCTTCCTCTCTCTGAAATCAATAAAGATATATTTTTTAAAAACACACACAAAAAAACCCCCTGCCAGTAACTCTCTCTTTTTCCCTTTCACCCTGGAGTCTTATGTCTTGTATTGGCAGACGTGGGGGCTGATGCCCAACCCTGGGAGCCTGGGAACCAGTCATCTGACGCTCTGTCCTGCTTCTCCAACCTCAGACTATTTTTAGAAATCTCTACTTAGTTGGTGAAGGAGATTTAGAAGCTGGCCTCAAAACCAACCTGGGCCTCGCAACCTGAGGGTGTAACCTGAACACCCTGTGCAGTAGGGGATGGAGAACTCAGGCCTGTGGCCAGAGTTGGCTCGCTGAGGCTACTGGCCAGGTCTCGACCTCAAGGGGAGGCCCAGGTGGAGGCGGGAGCACACTTTTCATTCATTCCGTGTGCAGTAGAGGCCTAGGGTTGGCCACAGCCCCTGGAGGTGGGGGAGACCTGGCCTGGATCCTGAGTGCTCTTTGGGGTAAAACATAGAAATGGTTAGCTCAGCAGCAAGGATGAGCACAATGACATCAGTAATTTCATCCCCATAAAGGGTAGAATCCCCATAATCCTCATCACCCTGGAGGCCAGGGGGCGCCAAAAACAGTCAGGGCTGGGGTCAGGGAGTGAGGCTCACCATGGCCTCTCGGTACTCCTTGCTCTTCTCATTGCGCTTCGTGTCATAGATGGAGATTTTCAGCGTGTGCGCCTCCTCCTCTTCCTCTAGAAGCTTCAGGATCTCCAGCACCTGAATTGGGAAGTGGGGGAGGGCATGGTTCAGGCCCCCCCCTCCCCTGCCACCTCCCACCTGCCCAGTCTCCCAGGGGACCCTGCCTCTAGCTCGGACTCCCAGGCCTGATGTCTGGACAGCTTCTCTTCATTCTTCAGTTGCATCATGGCCTCGTACTGGTAGAGAAGCTTCTTGGTGTGCTCCATGGGCTTCACCTGGAACGGCAACCGCGGTGACACAGAGAGGCAGCAACAGCCAGGGTCGTGCACAGGCTCTGGAGCCAGGCCTCTTGGGTTCAAATCTTTCCCTCTGTTTTCTAGCTGTGTGACCTCCAGCAAGTTGCTTAACCTCTCTGGGCCTCAGTTTCTTCATCTACAAAAACACAGATCGGCTGGCCGGGCGTGGCTCAGTGGTTGAACATTGACCTAGGATCCAGGCAATTGGGGTTCATTCCTGGTCAGGGCACATTCCCAGGTTGTGGGCTCCATCCCCAGTCGGGGGCATGCAGGAGGCAGCCAATCAATGACTCTCTCATCTTTGATGTTTCTATCGCTCTCTCCCTCTCCCTTCCTCTCTCTGAAATCAATAAAGATATATTTAAAAAACACACAAAAAACACAGATCATGCCCGACCAGTGTGGCTCAGTGGTTGAGCATTGACCCATGAACCAAGGGGTCATTGATTCAATTCCCAGTCAGGGCACATGCTCAGGTTGTGGGTTCGATCCCCAGTAGGGTGTGTGCTGGAGGCAGCTGATCGATGTTTCTCTCTCGTCAGTGTTTCTATCTCTCTATCCCTTTTCCTTCCTATCTAAAAAAAAAAAAAAATCAATAAAGACATTTTAAAAAACACACAGATAATAACATAAGAGAGACTAGAGACTAAGAAGAATGTCCCAGGAGAGTAAGGACTTGAGCTAGGAAAGCCAGCCCTGTGGAGGTGAGAGGATCGTCTCCTCCAGGGTCGGTCTCAGGATCTAGGGCCTGCTCTGCCCGGGGCTGGGGGAGTAGGGACAATGCAGAGTAGTCTTGGCCTGCTGGGCTGTCTTTCTTGGTGGAAAAGGGAAGATTTTCAGAAGAGCTGCAAAGAGAAGGGTCCTGGGATGGGAGCTCTTGATTTTCCCAAGGGGCAGAGATGAACTTCCAGGCTGGGGATCTGGAGTTTTCATCCCAGTTCCCCCAAGCTGCTGGGATGGGACACAGAGCCCCAGTTCCTTCTCCTCGCCACCCCCCGCCCTGCCCGCCACGGCCCCCAGGCCCACCTCGAAGCTAATACACATTTCGGGCGACATGATGATCTTGTTGCCCTTGCTGTCCACCTCGGTGCGCCGCAGGAACTCGCGCTTGGAGGCCGTGATGTGGTCCTCGAGGCAGTGGTAGCGCAGCTGGATGCGCTCCTCCAGGATCAGAAACACGCGCTCCTCCACGTCCTCGTCAGCGGGCTTGGCCGGGTTGCGGGAGAACCGCTCTGTGATTTTCTGGGGGGCCAGAGCACGCACAGGATGGGCAGGGGAAGAGGTTTCTGTGTGTGCCCTCAGGGACACTGGGGTCTGGATCATTTGGGGGTTTATGTGGAGCAGCCCCTCCTAGACAATGGTTCTCATGGCCCATGGGTTTCAGTGCCAAGCCGCTCCAGCCCTGTGTGGTGCTAGGGTTCTTCTCTACCTGCCTCCACAAAACTGCTTGCTCACCTCCAGAGATGGGGAGCTCACTACCTTTCCAGGTAGCCTTCTTTATCACTAGCCATTCCTTACTGCTAGAAAGAGGTTTTTCATTTGTTTGTTTTTTGGTATGCAGCCATTAAACTCAGTTATGAAATAATTTGTAATGATACAGAGAAAAAAAATGCACAACTTAATGTTAAGTGGGTGAGTCAGGGATTCTTCCTCCCCCCATCTCAATTAAGTTAGAAAAGACTCTCAAAACCAAACCTATATCATGCAGTAATATCTGAGAGATTCCATTTGGAGATACTTTTAAATTTTTTCTCTTTATATTTTTTCTCTCTAGATATATTTTCCCATATATTCTAAATGTTTAGCCTGAGTGTACACTTTTTATAATCATAGGGAAATAATAGCTCCCTGGCCTAGTGGCTGAGGGCACAAATGAGAAAGGTTTCTTGGGAAAGATGCCACTCCAGAGTCAGAGCTGTCCCCATCCCAGGGGAACCCAGGCTTGCCGGAGTGGGCAGTCACACTGTTCCCAGGCCTGCTAAACTCTTACCACCATGGGCCGGGGGTTCGACTCTGCGCTGTTCAGATTTAATTTCTTGATCCTGGGTCCAAAAGTGACATGGCGGTAGGAGAGGAAGTCTGGCCGTCCTTGATAGTATTCAGTCATTGTCTTGGGCGTCTCCTCCCGCTTTACCAGGCTATCCACACGGGCCCTTTCGTAGAACTCCATGACTCGATCATTCTCAGGTTGCATGGACATGTACGAGTGCACTGCCGTGGGAGGTGGGGCCAGGGAGACGACTGGGTCAGCACCAGGAGCCCTGGCCACTGGCTGGATAACCCAATCCTGACCCCAGACCCCAGGGAGAAGGCACATCCATGACTGCTCATGGATGAGCCTTAGGTCTGTAACCCACACCCACTGCTGGGCATTTAGGCTGTTTCCAGCCTTTTTCTTATTATAAACAACACTATGATGAACATCTGCTTCATGCATTTTTTAAAAATTCTTGCCCATTAATTTCTCAGAACAAATTCTAAGCTGTTGAACTGCTGGTCACAAAGCATAAATATTTTAAGGCTGGCATTGATTATTTTGCCCAAATGCTCTCCAGAAAAGTTGTGCCAGTTTGCTGTCCTGCCAGCAGTGACAGGGGCAACTGCTGCTTTGCACACTTGCTCACTCCCTGTAGGACCATTTTTTCATCTTTGATGACATGAGGGTTGTAAGACAGTCCCTTAGTGATACAGTTTCATTTGTTTATTTTTATTTCAACCATCAAGTGAGGTTGACTATTTTTTTGGTAGATGGTATATTGACCCTATGTCTCCTTTTGTGACTTCTTGGCTAGGGCTGTTGATTCTCTCCTAAGGCATGTCCTTTCCTGTCGTCCCAGGGTCATGTCCACAACCTCCACACCCTCTGTCTTCTGCATCACCCTTGTGGGGCATTTGTTGGTTTTATTGCTCAGCATCCTGACCCATCTATAAACGTGGATCCTGCTGTGGGCCTGATCCCAACCACAGAAATGGCATGTGGCCCTGGCTGTCACTTTCCTGGAGGAACATTTGTCATGTTTCCTTGGATTTTCTGCACTTCCCTGACCTCTCACATCCAGTTTGCTTAGGGAGGCGGGGCGGTTTCTGTTGCTTGCCACCCAAAGAACCCTGTCGATACACAGATACTGGTTTTCCCCACCATGTGCTCATTGCATGGAGGCTGCTCTAAGGAGTATGTAAGGCCCCTCCGGGGCCCCTGGCTGGTCGGACAATGGGGTCCCACTCACCACGCAGAGCCTGGGGGTGGCCGGGCTTGAAGTAGTCGATGTTCAGGCCTGTGACCTTGTTTATGTGCTTCAGCTCTAGCATGTCTTCCCGATTCTGGTACCACTCCTTTATCTCCAAAGTCTTGGTACCTGTGGGGCCAATCGGTGCTGGCTGCAGCCAGACCAGCTGCCCCAGCCTCCGTCCCATCATTCCTTGCAGGGCCCACCCTCACACCGAGAGAGTGTCAGTGACCTGTCTAACATCACACAGCATGTCAGGGACAGCGCCCCCTGCCCGGGCTGCCCCCTTACACTCCGAGTCCTCGTAGGTGCTGAGGCGGCACATGAGCCCATTGCTGTTGAGGTATGGGGCCCACTTCTCCAGCATGGCCTTCTTGTACTGTATCACCTTCTTCCCATTTGGGCAGCGGGTCTCGAACGCTGTAGACACAGAGTGGGCTGGGGTGAGGGACCTCCCAGATCAGGACCCCCCTCAGCCACTCAGTCAGCCGTTGTCCACTGAGCTGCCTGCCAAGCTCTTCTAGGTCCCAAGCCCGCTCCGGGGGGGCAGAGGAGAATGGACGTCCCAGGTGGCTCTTGCCCTGGAGGAGCTCTCAGAGTTGAGCACAAGCAGCTGACCTGCACCTTGTGGCACCACACACTGCCAGGCCTCTGCCTGTGAAGGTCTCTCTGCCAGAAACACCACCCCCTCCAGCTTCACCTGACTTCTTTTTATGCTTCACAACTTAGGTCAGAGGACCCCTCCTCCTGGAAGCCCTTCTCGTCCCCACCCCTCAGGCCCCAAACCTGGGGCTGAGCCGGGTGCCCCTCCCCTGGGTTCTCATGACACCTTCCCTGGCCTTTCCACCCTGTTGGAATAGCCCATGGCCTATGCTGTCCCTGTGGGTCTGGGTACTCCCAGACAGGAACCTCAGCAGCCAGCAGATGTTGGCATGAGGCACAAGAGGCCCTGTCCTCCTGCTTTCTCTGCCTGCCCCTCCCTGGTCCTGACGCCTCCCCTCTGCCATCTGGGTACCGTGCATGGCCTCCTCCTGCCAGGGTGGGGTGAGGGAAGGGAACAACTGTGTTCTGGTCCTCGGTCCTCCATCACCTCCCACACTCCATCCAGCGGAGTTAACTGAGCCCCGTCCCATCCGCAGATTGGTGTCAGGCCCTCGGGGGCACAGCTGTGTGTGTGGTAGGAAAGAAGTATGAGGAGGGGCAGCAGAAAGCAGGAGGGGGGGAATGAGGGGCAGAGCAGCCTCTGCTGGGGTCCCCCTGCCTTGCTGTCGCTGTCGCCTGTCGCCGGGACCGTCCCAGGTGGCCCCCATCCTAGGGAGGGGCAGTGAGCACAGGTGCATACCCTCTGGGGAGATGGAAATCTGATCCACCCAGGAGTGCGGCATGTCGAAGCCCTCTTCCTCCTTGCCCTGTTGGGAGAGGTGGGTAGGGGGGGCTGGCTCTGCTCAGCAGTTGCAGGCAGAGCCTCTGTCTTGCTTGCCCCCAGTGCCAAGCCAGGGTGGCTTGTCAGCTCCCTGAGGGGAGCCAGGAGGCAGGGCAGTTTTCACCTGGCCTGGGGTGATCCAAGATAGGGAGGAAGAGGAGGAGTCTGCCTCCAGTGGGCTGGGACCTCCCCTGGCTAGGACAGCAGCACCCCTGCTCTGCACACCCCGCCTTCCCTCGGTTGTCAGAAGCACCAGGCTCAGCCACAGGCCCCGGGTTAAGAGAGGGGCACCATGGCCAGTGTGGCTCAGTTGGATGGGCATCATCCAGTGCACCAAGAGGTTGTTGGTTCGATTCCTGGTCAGGGCACATGCTGGGTTGGGGGCCAGTCTGGGGCATGCAGGAGGTAGCCAACCAATGTTACACCCTCACATTGATGTTTCTCTTTCTCCATTCATCTCTCTCTAAAAATCAATTTAAAAATCTTAAAAAACAAGAAGATAAGGGCTTCTGGGGTCAGGTGGACACAAGCCCCACCTCTCCATCTAACACCAGCTAAGGGGTCCTGGGAAAGCCCCTTTACCACTCTGACCCTCAGCTTCCCAACTATAAAGTAGGGCCCTTGGGAGGGTTCACTGATAGAAGGTACATGAAGGGCTGGGGATACTGCCCAGCTGCCCTTACTGGTTTGCTTTTTCTCTCTGAGCCTTAGTTTTCCCAACTGTACAATCAGGCCTGGGCTACACAAATGGTCCTCTAGCTAGCTGTCCACAGAAACTCGAAAAAGATTTTCTCAGCTTAAAACTGTCACAAATATTGCTCAGATCTCTGCCATGGGCTCATCTAATCAGGCCACCCTTTCGGCCAGCAGGGGGTGCCCATGCCCGGGGATTTACTGTCCAGTCTACAGAGCTGAGGACACTGGATACTCTCCACACAACTGCCAGGCATGTCTACACTGCTTTGCCAGCACATCACACCCGTGGTCTCATTTTGTCCTCAAGCAGCCCCAGCAGGTAGAACAGAGTCACTGTTGAGAACCCAGACAACGAAACCAGACTGTCAAATCCCAGGTTCAAATCCCAGCTCTGTCACTTACTGGCTGTGTAACTTTGGGTAAGTTACTTTGCCCCTCTGTGTGTCTTTCTATCTGTAAAATGGGACGATAATAACCATGGATGATAATACTAGTACCCATGTCGCCTGGTGGTTGTGAATATTTAGACAAGTTCATCCAGGTTAAGCACCTATGGGAAGGCCCCAGGTCAGTGACCTTCAGAAGGGCTAAGAGGATGGACAAGAAAGGCCTAGAAGTGCTTCCGGGAGATCATAGTGGCTATGTGGGATGGCCTGGAAGTGAGGAATGACCAGCCTTGGGGCTCCCCAGGCCTGTGGAGGGGGTCTTAGCACCCTGCTCCAAGGGGCATGCTCTCTGAACAGCATGGACTGTGTGTGGGGCAGGACCCAAATGCAAATCCCAGCCCTCCCCTACCCCACTATGTCCTGGGCAGGTCATTGGATCTGTCTGGGCCTCATCTATAAAATGAGGCCGTAGTCCAGGGTCTTCTGCTTGAGGAATCTATAATCAGTCTACCTAGACTGTCCCCTCCCATACGCGTGCATGCTGGTGGGACATTTGTCAGGCCAGCATGAAGCAAGACTGGATATGAAGCCACCTCCCCTCACCTGCCCCCCACCCCACAGGCAGATGAGACTCACCAGGTTTTCCACGTCGTCATCATCGTTCAGGCCATCGTCGTCTTCCTCAGCTATGGACAGTTGAGGCTTATCGGTCCCCAAAAGCAGGTACTCCCACCTCACAGGGTCTCCCAGGTCAAAGATCAAGTCCTGATGGGGGAGGGGATCAGCTGAGCGCACCCCACGGCCTCCTTCTGTTTCACCGGGTGGTGGGAAGCAGCTGCTCCCAGAGTGCAGAAGGGGCCTGGGTCTCAGGTCAGAGGGGCAGAATTTTGGCTCCAGCAGCTCCTGTGAGTCCACACCCACCCTGCCCATTTCAACAGGAAACTGAAGCCCTGAGGGGGACTGGAACACCCTTTCTGTTGCCCAATCTCGCCACGAAGACATCCCACTGCTGTCTCCGTGAAAAACTCGGAAACTCTGGGGGCAGCCCAGGCAGCGTCCAGAGCAAAAGCAAGCGGGTGAAAATTTATGGGAGGGGGAGATGGCAGGTTTGAAAGAAGGCCTCCCGCGGTGTTTACTCCCACCAGGGAAAAGAAGAGGCATGGTGCCGAGGAAGCAGGCAGGGTTTCTCTCCCAGGGCGTGGGTCCCCCGCCTCTTTTCATGCCAGTCCACCTGAGCCTCAGCTCACCTGCCAGACAACTCCCGGCAGGTGGGGAGCACCCCTCAATCCCAGTCTACCACCTCAGGTGGCATGCCATCCCCAGGATCAGTGTCCCAGAGGAAGGGCAAAGGCTTAAGAACAGCGTGAAGCTGTCCCAGTCCTCACTGTCATATCTGAGGCCTGGAGGGCTCCTGAGTATTTCTCTACTCCAGCTGGGGGGTGGGGGGAGAGGAGAAGGGGATGGGCTAGAGGAGGAGAGAGAACTGCTCATGGATGTAGCAGTGATTGCAGACAGTCAAAGCTTAGTGGAGAGGAGCCAAATTATACAGATGCTGGTATTTCTTTCAGTCACATCCTCCATTCTATCACTTTGGTCAGTAGTAAGCAGTAGTTAGGGATTTTGCTACTTGAATGTCAGTTTCTATAGAAAAAGCATAACTGAAAGGACAACCACCATGTCCTGTGAGCCTGGGGGTCTCTCTGTCTCCATGTGGGGCCTCACCACAGCTCCCTGCCCCCGGTGCCATTTCAGGTCTCTTTAAAGGAGCAAAGCAGCCACTTCCCTGCTCATCTGGCAGTAAAGTGACAGCCAGATTCATGATCTTTCTCGTGCCCTTACTTGGTGACGCGGTGCTGCCTCTCGGGCCTTACTCTCCCACCAGGCCACCCTTCCGTTTCACAACTCCTGTTATCTCGGCCATAAAATTTCTTTGCCTGGCATTAGTCCAAGATGTGCTATGAGAGGAGGCTGAAGACAGGATCTTCAGCCTGGGAAAGGGACAAAGGAGGACTGTCGCAGCCTCTCAAGGGCCATTATTCTTCCAAGGGCACTGACACTATGGCAGTTATGAGCCTGGGCTCTGGGGAAGGGCCGTCTTGGCTCTGCCCCATCTGTGTAGTGTGGGAGATGTTCTTTCTATAAAATAAGAGTAACAATGGCTAACATTTATGGAATGGTCAGAGACTGACTATTCTAAGCACCTACTAAGTGGTATTTCCCACAACCCTGTGAGGTCAGCGAGGGCTGAGCAACCCTGGGCTCAGAGGTTAAGGGAGGCCAAGGGGCGTGGGGTGTTCCTCCTGCATTGAAGGCAGAAATTTCTCCACCTCGGAACATCTGACTTGCAGACAAAGCAACTTGTACTGGGGCGCACCTGTGTTAACTCTGCTGGCCTCCCACAGGGGCAGTGGCAGACCTTCGCAGGGTCCCTTTGGAATAGGGGGCAAAGGACCCAGGATCTGCCTTTGGGAAAGTGGCCTGGTTGGAAATGGAGGAACCTGGAAAAACCCAAAGAGCGTAGGACTTGGAGCCTGTCTTTCTTTTGATTTGTGTACAGCTCAGTGGATTTCTATAACTTCGACACGCCTTGGTTTCCTGCGCCCAGATCCAGAAATAGAACATTGCCCACACCCCCCAAAAGTCACCCTGTGTCCAGTTATGACCTTCCCCTAAATGTGCATATGTATTTTTAACTTATGTAAGTGGCTCTGAATTTTTCTATACATAACTTTATGGAAATTCATTGAGCTGCACACTTAGGGAGAGTGCACTTTTCTTCCATGTATGTTGCATTTCAATACAAGGTTTTTAGGTCATTCATACAAACTAACAATCCACATTTTATAGGATACGCAAATCAAGAGAGACAACAATCACATCGGAATAGAGTGGGCTCTGGAGACTCAGCTACGGGGAAAGTGTGAAGCCCTCGTGGCCTGGTGGCCAGCTCTCCCCACAGGTCACTCGCCCTCCCCCACTATAACTGCCACACCCACGCAGGCCCCTGCCCGGCACCTTGCAGCAGTTCCAACAGTCCTGCATGTTGACCCAGTAGTTCTTGTGGTTCCAGAGGCTCTCAATGCCCAGGAAGTTGTCATCCTGGTTGCTATAGCTGCGCGCCGTGAACGGGTCAATGAAGAAGCTCTCGGGCACCTCACGCTTCCCCGACAACACCAGTACCCAGGAATGCACGCGCAGGCCATGCAGGGGGTCGGAGTTCTCGTTCTTTGCCTCCTGCACAGAAAAGGTGGGTGACTGTGGGCCACGTGGGTGTGAAGGGGGGGAGTCATCTCCCCAGGGCTGGGGAATGGGCAGGAGAGCTGAGTTCTGGTCCAGGCTATACCATGGGCTTGAGAACATCACCCCACCTCTGAGCCTGTTTTCTTATCAGTAAAATGGGAGGGACTGACTCAATCTAGGGTTTATAAACTGGGCCCTTTGGAGCTCTAGGGTAGCTGGGATTTACTGGCTTTCTGTGTTGTGATTCTGGATAAGAGTTCATCCAAAGAAAGGTAGTGGGACACCATATGGCTTTCTTGTCTGCCTCCCTCTGGGACAAGGGTGACTATGTCACTTTCATTATTATATCCATAGTGCCCAAACCAGAGGAGATGGTAGATACCACATGGAAGGAAAGGAAATAAGGGAGGGAGGAAAAAAGGGTGGAAGGGAGGATGGGAGTGTGGATGGGTAGGAGAGATGGATAGATGGAGGGAGGGATGGATGGATGGATGGATGGATGGATGGATGGATGGATGGATGGATGGATGGATGGGGAGATGAGAGGATGGATGGATGGATGGATGGATGGATGGATGGATGGATGGATGGATGGATGAATGGATGGATGGATGAATGGATGGATGGATGAGGAGATGAGANAGTGCCCAAACCAGAGGAGATGGTAGATACCACATGGAAGGAAAGGAAATAAGGGAGGGAGGAAAAAAGGGTGGAAGGGAGGATGGGAGTGTGGATGGGTAGGAGAGATGGATAGATGGAGGGAGGGATGGATGGATGGATGGATGGATGGATGGATGGATGGATGGATGGAGAGAGGGACGGAGGGAGGGGTTGATGAAGAGCTAGAAGGATGGATGTTGGAAGGAGAGCTGGAAGGGCGGTTGGGAGGATGGATGGGAGAGTATATGCAGGTAGGTCTTTAAGTGAAAGAGTCTGGAATGAGGAGGACACCAAAACTGCCCAACATAAAATGGGTTGCCCCAGGCAACAGAGTTGACATGAGAAACCTATCACCAGAAGCTGACTGACCTCCAGGGGGAGATTCCCACATGGCCAGGCAGAGGTGGGGATGGTTGAGAGGAAGGAAGAGGGATTTGGACCTAGGGGTCCATAAACACATTTCTCCCAAGACCTGTGTCTCTCTTCCATTCTTAGAAAGCCCTCCTCGGGAGCTGAGCTCAGGGGTTGGAGGCTGAGAACCAGGGACCTACCCCGAGGCGCTCCTCCTCCTCCTTCCGCAGCAGATCCTGCTCAGCTTTGATGGCTTTCTGCTTCTTTATCTCCTGCTCCTGCTCAAACCTGCTGGTCAGGTCCCTGGGGGGCTTGACGGCATACTTCTTAGGTGGTTCCACTTCCTTCTCCTGGACTGCCTGTCACCCAGCGAGAGAAGATCAGCAGCCATGAATCGCCACCCCTCAGACCAGGGGGTCGCAGCTGCTCCTGGAGCCAGGGGGATCTCTGGCCCTCGAAGCTCTAGGACCTTGGACAAGTCCCTCCACTTCCCTAAGCTCAGGCTCATCTGTTAATTAGAATGAGAGTAAGAATCTTCTCCAAGAAAGTGCCCGTGGGAGGTGCCCATCAGGGCTGGTGCTCAGAAGATGTGGTTTTCTCTTCTTTACCCCTGCTGCCCACATGAGCTATGATCCGGATCTGATCTGGAGAGTGGGGCAAATTGTGGGAAGTCAGATTTTCCAGATTTTGCCATTGGAGGGTTTCATATGTTGATGTAAAATAAGAGTTCCTGGGCAAGAAAGGAGAAGAAATGTGTGTGTATGTGTGTGTGTGTGTAGGGGAAAGAGAGAGAGAGAACAGTGGCAAGAAACAAATCCAGGAGAAAACACTGCAGAGGCTACAGAAGTGGGCTTGTGGCAGTTAGGAGGGAAAAATAGTGACTCGCCATAGTTTAGTCACAGAGACGGGGCCTCAATCCCTGGGTTTCCGTTTACCAGCCGTGCTGCTCTGGTAACATGTAAAATTGAGTGATAATGCTTACCACACGGCACTGTCGTGAGGAACAACCAAATCAGGGGACCTGATTGTGGCTTGTACACTGGAAAGTCCTCTGCCTTTGTTAGCATCGGTATCATTTTAATAATTCAAATTTTGGCTGAGCTAAGAGGCCCATGTGTGAGCTCACAGGCCTTTGGAGCCAAAAGTGATGAGAGAAGATCCCATCTTCTTTGAGGCGGTGGGCCTGAGAGAGCAAGGCTCTCACCTGGTGCCCCCTCCACCAGAGCACGGTCCAGGGCCCCCAGGTGCTCACCCAGGTGTAGCACAGGTGCACATGTGTCCCCAGCCCTGAGCTGTAGATACCCACAGGATTTGACCCTGATCACTGAATTTTGGAACTGACACAGTTCATGAAAAGCATTTTCTGCCTGTAGTGTGGTTATTTTCCAAAGGCAAAGAGAGGCTTTTATTTCCTAAAAGGAAACCCACTTAAGAGTTTCTTGTGTTCACAGCAGCCTCTGGTCATTCTTGAGTCTCAGTCAACATATATAAAAACACAACCGCCCCCTGCTGTTAAAAAGGGGTCTTTTTACTTGGGAGGGGGGGAAAAAGACAGAACTAAATGTCCATATGTCTGTTTCTTCCTTAGATGAAAATGGCTGGATGGACTTTTATCCAAAGGGCAGGGTAAATTTGGAAGAGTTTGACTTAAGGTAGAAGCCACGTGGCCTTCACAAAATTTACTTCATGGAGGGGAACACAGAAGCTGAAACTGAGTCACGTCAAGGGGAGAGGGACAGCCAGCGTGGGGTCCTGGGCTGAGTGCGTTAAGAAGCTGAGGTTAGAGAAATCACAGGCGGTTTGAAATACGAACTCCGTGGTGATGGAGCTGCGTTCCCGTGGCTGGGGCAGGGGGAGGCGCAGGGACACGCTGCTTTAAGAGGGGCCACATCTGGAGCCCGGCCTACCTCCCTGGGCTTCTTGGTGAGCGGGCACACCTCCCGGGTCAGGTCCATGAGGCACAAGTCCTTGGAGCCGTAGCCGTTGATGCAGTAGGCGTCGTAGCCGGAGCCAATGAGCATGGAGCAGAGCAGCGTGCTGAAGTCGAAGCAGTTGCCCTTCTGGTACTTGAGCACCGTGGTCGGGGAGTACAGGTGCGAGGGCTGGCCGTGGCCATGGCGGGGGTCAGCTCTGCCGGGCCCGCCGCCCCTGGCCTGCCCCCTGTGCGCCAGGCCTGGGCACTAGCGCCCATGCAGGCTGGACCCCAACAGGGCTCCTCACCTTTGTGGGCTTGGGGAGCCTGCTAAGAATGGGGTGACCACCACAGAAAGAGCCATTCACGTTTGACTATAGTTCTCAGGGGCTGTGGACGTCCTGATGGGAAAGGCCCTGTGGCCTGGTGAAGCTTGTGGTCTGATGGGCAGTTTTATGGTTATATTTTAAAGTGCTCTTCATCTTCTCCCTGCCTACATGCTTTCCTCTTGTCCTTTCCTCAGTTCTCATTGTAGACCTATCCTTCCCTCCCTCTTTTCCTCCCTCCTTTCTCAATGAGAAGGCCATTGAGCTGGTTAGAAGCTCAAAGATGAGGCTGTGGGCCATGAGTAGCAGGGACCTCCTCTGCTACTCACTGTGAAAGGAAGGCCCTGAAGGCAGAGAGAGGCAAAGGAGGCAAAGAACTGGGAGTCTGACGACCAGGCTTGCTGTGTGACCTTAGGCAAGTGGCTACGTCTCTCTGGGCCTGTTCCCCTTCCCTCCCCAAAGAGACTGATGGGCTGAGCCTTTTTTTCCAGACTTGCCCAGCTTCCTATCCTAGGCCTCATGGGCCTAGAATGCAGCCCAGAGTGGCACTTACCGGCTTGAGAGGGTCGGACAGGGGCTCCATGGAGAGGAAGTCTGCAACAAACTGGGCACAGGTGTCCCAGTTGTAGAGCTCGGGGTAGGGCATCAGAGTGGGCCGGATGGTTGTGCTCACGAACTTCTGCAAGGGGAGAGACCAAAGGCCCTGGGAGGGCATCCCACCTGGGTGGAGAGTATGGCGTTCCCAGGAAGCCAGAGACTTCAGGTTTGGGGCAGGGGATGCTTTCTAGGCCTCTCTGGGTTTTAGGCTCCTCCCTAGTGCCTTGGGCATTGGATACAGGGATTCCTCAAAGCCCTTCCAGCCCAGGCCCAGAGTAAGCTTGTGCTGTCCCCAGGTGCCAGTGAGAAATCAGTTCCCCCCCTGCCCCCCCGTTATCACCACTGTCCCACTGAGTGCCACCAGACCTGGCATCACCTCCCCAATCCCCAACGACCCTGTGAGGAAGGTGCCATTGACAGAGGAGGAAACTGAGGCTCCAAGAGATGAGCTGACCAGCTCAGGTTCACAGTTCGCAGCAGATCTGGGTCTGTCTAGCTCTAAGCCGCCACCTAGTGTGGGGACCTAGTGCCACTAGAGCCCTTCAGGGACTGCTCTGCCACCTGCGGCCTGGGGTCCAGGCCTCCAGGGTCTATGGATTCAAGGAAGGCCCCACCAGCACCGGATCTCACATGGCCCCACCTAGAGTGCGGCCCCGGTGCAGACCCTGCTGACTGCTGCAGGGGGAGTGCAGGCCTGGGATTACCAGAGAAGGGAAGAGGGGATAGGGATCTGTATGAGAATCACTGAGCCTCAAATGCTGGCAGCTCATACGTAGGTTAAAAATCACCACATCGGCCAAATAAAACAGTCTGCGAGTCTCTGCCAACCTGGGGGCTGCCCTTTTCCAGCCTTTGGATTCATCCTCTGCCACTCCATTTACAGATGGGGAAACTGAGGCCCAGAGAGACTTGGGGACATGCCCTGGGACATAGGGCTGGAAGGAAGGAGTCCAGTGCTTGGGTCCTGGGACCTATCCTGGTCATTTTGTCTTATTTCTCTGCTCTTCCCTATCTATAAGCTCTAGGACAGGGCTGTGCCTGGGTCCACCTCCTTCAGCCCTCTGCTAGCGATCCCCCCACCCTGTACTCCATGCCTTGGGTCTTACGGGCACTTCACACTCATTCAGTGGGTGCAGGAAGAGGGGCACACGATCTGGGCACAGGTGGCTGTACTGGCGGGAGAAGTTGTCTGCCACCTGCAGCAGGTGCTCCTCCTTGGTGGTGTTGCTTTGATAGGAAAGGGGCAGCTTGGAGATGTCGATAGTGTCCTTGGTAATGACCCTGTGCCGTAGGAGGGATGGCATTAATTAGTCGGCATGAAGCTAGGCCTGGACACAGGGAACCCTCGATCCACCTTAGTTGCCATGGGCTCTATCCCATCCTTGTTTAATCCTCACAACTACCTAGGAGGGGAGTATCATTATTAGCATCTGCCCTATTAAACAGATAAGGGAACTGAGGAACAGAGAGGTTGAGTGACTTGCCCAGGGTCACACAGCTAGTGAGGGGCAGAGTGGAGACTTGGCCCAGCCAGTGTGAAAGCAGAGCCCTCACTCTTAACGGCCTCCCTCGATGCCCTGGCCTGGCCCCCCAGCCCAGGTGCCATCATTCTGCCTGGCTCCTACTTCGCCCAGCCCTGCTCTCACCCTCTCCAGGGCTTCAAGGCCTGAAGCCCACACCCTGACACTCACGAGGGCTTATCCGGGACAGTGATCTCGATGTCCGACAGCTTCTTCTCCAGATCCCTGAGCATTTCCGGAGTCATGATGGTTTCCTCCTTCCGCACCTGCATCTCGGGCAGCCTCATGGTCTTCTCGCCCCTCTCCATCCGCTCGGCTGCCTCCTCCCGCTCGGCCTCCTCCTCCTCCTCGATCTTCTCTCTCAGGACCTCCATCCTGGCGTGGCTCTGGCTGTTGGGAGACGCAGTCCCTGCAGGAGGGATCAGCACACTCAGGACGGTGGGCTTCAGACCAGGAGGGGGCCACCAAGACCACCTGTGTCCCTGGGTGGTGGTTTCCGGTGGCTTAGGCCACAGAGGGAGAGACTGAGTATCCCTTAAACTCCATCCCACGGAGGAGAAAGTCTCTGCTCGGCGCTGACGGGTCCATAACACCTTCCGAGTGTTCACAGGTCTCCCTTAACACAGGCGCTAGCAGGCCGCAGGCGGGAACCGGTGCCAGGGCAGGAGCGGGCAGCCCAAACCTTAACATCGCTTCCTTCCCGCCAACTTATTCCGGCCGCATCGTCTCTCTGCGGCGAATGACGCTATGCTGAAGGGATCACTGTCGTATTATAACATTTTCCATTTAAATATATTTAATAAGCCCAGTAAGTGAAACGGCTTAAAGGAATTATTCATAATAGTAAGGTGGTGATATGGAGTACGACCAAAAAAAAGGGAACATCACCAACATTGGAAGTGAGGCACAGAGGGGAAGTCCCAGAAGGGTGGCGGCAGGTGGGGAGGGTGAGGAGAGAGAGAAGTAGGGTGGGGAGAGGCCAAGGTGTCCGTGGGCAGCAGGGGCTGACAACTGGGGCAGGCGCCCAGGTGGGCCCCGAGCCCAAGGTCACAGAGCACGTCCTCGGAGGTGGAGCTGGTGGCTCGGAAGGTGTTACAGGCCCGTCAGTGCCGAGCAGAGACTTTCTCCTCCGTGGAAGGGAGTTTAAGGGAGACTCAGTCTCTCCCTCTGTGGCCTAAGCCACCGGAAACCACCACCCAGGAACACAGGTGGTCTTGGTGGCGCCCTCCTGGTCTGAAGTCCACCGTTCTGAGTGTGCTGATCCCTCCTGCAGGGACTCCGTCTCCGGACAGCCACCAGAACCCATAAAACTTCCTTCCCCACATCAGGCGACCTCATCAGCTATAGTGCAGTCTGAGGAGGGCAGTCGGGCCTCAAAGTTCCCTGGGCCCTGCCCAGAGGCCCAGAGGCTTTCCCCACCCCACAGGTCATTTTTTGCACCCTCTTCCCCAGAAGCACCCTTTTCCTCCCCCGACACACACACACACACACACACACAGTGAAAATTTCCCTAGAAAGGTCAGGGCGGAAAGCCCCCAGGCAGAAGCCCCCTTACCACCAGCACCCTCCCTCTCCCCCTGCAGGGCAGGGTCCTGACACCCCGCAGTCCTCTACTGCGCCTCTCACCCTCTAAGGACAGCCTGTACCATCTGTTAGCCTGTCTCCATAGTAACGGCTTTCAGAAGCTGAGGGCCTCTAGAAGAGGAGGCTTCTGGGAAATGTAGTCTTCTGCCACTTCCCAGGTCTAGGCCCAGAGACCTAGGCTGCAGGTCCCTTGGCCAGTGGTGGGCTGGAGCCAGCTTATGCCAGATTGCTATAGATGATTGTTAAAATCTCAGGAATGTTAGTGCGTCAGTTGGAAAACACAGCCATTTAAATTATAAAAACATAAAAATAAATAGATTTTATTAAAAACAAAGGTAATAAACACCCCAAATGCACCCCTTCTTAATTGTTTTACTATGTTGTACTATTATCTTGAAGTTATTTATGCCCACTGTATCTGTATAATAAAATTGCTATACAATGGTGAGCTACTCTGCATCTTTCTCCAACTTCTGTTCAGTGATGTCATCTTGGTAAAAACTAGCTTAAAATTTGTCAAGGCATTATTTACACCATGGGAATTGGCAAATGCTATAGAACAGGACTTTTTCTCTCATTGAGCTATTTGTTAAGCATTTACCAGGACACTAATGCCCCTGCCCCATACACAGTCAAAGAGGCCTTCATCAGGACAGATGGAAACCAGTGGGGGTCCTGGAGTGGCTGCCTGTCATGGTGGAAGTAGCCAGGCTGCCTGAGTCTTGGGTTCTAATCCAGACTGGGCCTCTGATTTAGGACAGATAAAACTTACCCATTAGGTTAGCAGCCCATGAAAATGTTTCATTTAAATATCTTTTAAATTCAGAAGAAAAAATGAATAGACTAACAATGAATATATATGAGTCCAATGTAGTCATAAAATGTAACTTTTTTTTTAAATTTTATTTTTGTTTAAAATATTACAGATGTCCCTTTTTCTCCCCAATGACCCGTTAAAATGTAACTTTTACTGTTTTGTTTTTGGAGAAAGGGACTCACAAAAGTCACAATGCTGCCCTGTGGAGGTTCGAGGGTGGAATACTGGAGAAACACTGCAGATGTCATGACAGGGTTATATAGTTGCTGGTACTGGTTGAAAGGTAGGAATCACCTCAATTCTCAATAATAAAGAATGATTATTTTCTTCTGGTTGGGATATTATACAGTCATGAGAAATAACGTGTGATGGATAAATGGGACAGAGGGAAAGCTCATGAGACAGCGTGTGGACATCAGTCCTGGCGAGAACCCTGTGATTAGTTATGTAGGAAATTCACTGTGGTTAAAGCAGGAGGGATGAGGAAACAGGAAGCTGGTGACACATATGCTGGGCTAGTGGGATGGAGCATTTATTTATTTCCTTTTATCCCTACACCCACTCCCACTCCCTGCCCCCTATAGGCAACCTTTCTGATGGGTATTTGTTTCCAAAATGAGCATTGTTTTGCATGCTGCTGTAAGCGGTATTGTGTTCAGATTTCCTGTTTCTTTTATTTTCACTGTTTTTAAGATCCATCCATGTTGCTGTGTGTCCATGGCACAGATCCATACTAATGACCTCTCTGCTCTGCCACCAACTCCCTTCCACAACAGATGATGCCACACATGTCATTGGTCCTGTCCCTTTTAGACCTTAAGAGTATTCCTTTGGGGTAAATAACCAGGAGCAGTATGGCTGGGTCAGCAGCAACACCCCATTTTTTCCTAGGCAGTGAAACCTACCCTCTTCCCACCTGCAACACACGAGGGAGCTTAGAACCCCAGCCCCCCACCAGCACTTATTCTCTGGCTCCCGAACATATGCCAATTTCATGACTTAGCTAGTTGAAGCCTCCATGCCTCCAAATAAATTTTAGAATAATTTTTTGGAAAGTCTTAAAAAATCATTTGGAGTCTTTATTGAAATTGCATTGCATTCAAAGATTAATTTGTGAAGAATTTTTATCTTTTGATATTGTTATCTATCTGAGAGCACAGGCAAGTAGGTCGTCTTATTTCCTATATATGTGTTATATTGCAATAAAAAAATACTAGGAATGAAGAAAGGGGTAGAGCAGAGAGAACCAGGCAGCACACCGATGCCCAGGGCCTGATAAGGTGATGACCAAGGCGAAGCTCTGGCCCAGTCACATTCCTGCTGGGCGAGGTGGGTTGGGCACCGGGCAGCTCTCTCAGCTAATATCTCATTTAATCCGTCATCAACCCTGTGGTGCAGCTCCTGCCACACCTGCTTTACAGGTTCAGTGGGTGAGAAATTGGTCCAAGGTAGGTTGCAAAGGCAAAATTTGGACCAGGCAGATTGAGCCCAGAGTTCGTGCTCTTAACCATGGTGCTGCCCATTTCCTAGGTTGTTATCGTGATGGCTCAGTGACAGGGGAACCCTGTACATTTGCGCTGGGCCTTGGGGTGCATTTTTACCATGGCCCCGCCTGGCCTTAGCACATGTTCAGCTTGGTACTTGGAGCTGCGTTGGCAGTGTCCCCAGGCAATGAGGGACCCCAGCCCCTCTGCCCTTGCCTGGCCCTGGGGTAGAGAATCAGTAGAAAAAGATCACACCCCACTCCCATCACTAATGACACCTGCCACCTGCCCTCTCCGTCTGCACCAGGAAACCCAGCTCATCTGGGGCTTGTGATTCCCACTGGGCGTGTCTGGGAAAACCACAGCCCAGGGTTCAAAGGGTCAGGGAGGAGGTGATAATTCCTGAGGCCATAGAATGCTCTGGGTAAAGGCGTTAGCAGCCGAGGGAGACCCCAGTCCTCGTGTCAGCCCAGCTCACAGAGTGGCCTTGTGTGGTTTGCTGGTTCTCTAGGGGACTCCCTGCCTCGTCCCCACACAGGGCCGGTGAACTGCCCCTCCTAGTTCACACGCAGGTTGCACAGGGTCATGCTGTACACAAGGGCTCCATGTGGTTTCTCTTTAAGCCAAGGAAGGGGACCTCGGGAGCCAACAGTCTCCCTCTGAGTCGTGCTGGGCACTTGACTTTTGTCACCTCACATAACGGTCTCAAGATGAGACAGAGACTTGATCTCAATTTTACAGAGGGGGAAACTGAGCCTTGGAGAGGTGCGGTGACATGCGCAGGGTCACACAGTCCTTAGCAGCAGAGCCAGGATTTGAACCCAGACCTGTCAGACACTGCTGACTGTCCTTCCCGAGCACAGGTTGGTAACTGAGACTTTGGGGTAAGAAAGCTGAGAGCTTTCGCATGAGAAACATAAGTCCGTGAAGATAAGCCTCCAAGCCCACCAGGCGTGCACACAAACACAAGTCATGTGGCTCAACTGATGTAATGTCCACACCCTAGGATTTCCCTTCCAGGAACACAGTGACTTGCTTAAAACAAAGGCCCCTGCCTTCCTGTCTTTCATCTGTTTGCTGGTCTGTCCGTGTCAGGTCCTGGCATGTGGGGGGAGGTGGGCTGGCAGCCCAGGGGCTCTGGGGAGGATCTCATCATAGTAGCTTCTCATCTGCAGAAGGTGCTTGACTGTCTCCCAAGCCCACTGGGCAGGGTGGGGTTGGATAAGGGGTGAGATTCCCCCCATGGTTAGTAAGTAAAGGCTGGAGTGGAAACATGAACGTGGGGGCGGGGCTTGGGGACAGAGGTCCAGCCACAGGAAGTGGGGTCTGGTCTGAGATGTGCCCCTGGCTCAGGGCCCTGTTAGGCTGCTGCCAAACTCCCATGGCCACCTATTAAGCCAGAATAGATTTGTTCAGGGCCCCACATGCAGCAGGGCTGGGCTGACGGTGAGTGAGGCCATCCAAGTGCCTGCTCTGTAGCTGTAGGTGCTCAGATTTGGGGGTTGGTGCAGCGCGTCCTCCCTCTATCTGCTCAGCCCAGACCCTCCCCTGCCCTGGCCCTTCGGTCCTCAAGTGTGCAGAGCCCTGGACCTCCAGCCCACCGTGACAGTTGATCAGAGTCAAGCCATCCACATGGCAGTCAGAATGGGAACGTGGGGGGCAGGAATTGCTTGAGGTCACACCCACTAAGTGGCATTCTCTGAAATTCAGTGTCTCAGACGCCTGGAGAGCTGGCAGCCCCCTAAATGGAGGCTCTTCTGTGAAAATAGGCCATGGTGGGTCTGAGGCCAGGGGCAGGTGGGCTGGGGACCAACTGCCAAAAATAAACCTCCAGTTCACAACTACCCTGGTACCTGAGGGGATAACACCTCCTGAATACCCCTCACTTCAAGCAGCCAGAGGGTAGAGAGGCAGTGACGAGGGAGGAAGGGAGAGGCTGGGGGTCCTTGGAGGGGCTGTGCCAACAACAGCCTTCCCTATTTGGGCTCAGGCCCTTACTGAGACCAGAAGGTGGGCAATGGAAGATAGGCTGCATTGCTATGAAGGCAGGGGTTGGGCAGAGCTGCAGGGGTGAGGCTGTCGCTCTGTGCTGGCAGAGGTCCCAGGATTGTAGGAACGTTTGACTCCTGCAGTCGTGGATTGGTGGACTCTCAGACCATAAGAGGAATCTGGGTGGGACCTTTGAGGTAAACATGGTTCGGCCTTGGCTACATCCCCTCTCTCCCCAGCCACACTGTACAGACATGAGAACTGAGGCCCAGAGCGAGGCAAGGAGCTGTCCAAGTTCGCCTAGCAGGTCAGAGCTGGGTCCAGAGTGCAGGGCCGGGCCCCTGTTATTGTGACGTGGTGTGGGTCTGCTCAGCTCGGGCGGTGCCAGAAGAGGCCTCGGGGCTCTGGCTTGGGAAGTAGAGCACGATGAACCAGCAGAAGATGAAGACACCTGCAGGGGGAGAGGGCATGGCTGAGCCTGGGGGCCCCACAGGGAGCTGGGCGGCCTGGCTGGCGGCGGCCCAGAGCAGAAATAGGCCCACTGTAAAAGTCCAAGGATTTATGGGAAGATCGGGCAAAAATGGAACCTGCTCCTGAAAAAGAACCAAAGAGGCATCTTGGAGTTCAGGTTGAAATATGAGGGATGACCCCCGAAAGAATGACATCGCCCACAGCTTCGAGGTCCGCTCTCTCCAACCTTGACCCTCTGGGATTTCCAGAGGCTGGCTCATGTTTCTTCCTCTGGGGATGGTCTCAGGCCGCCTAATAAGGATGACTCCTGTTGCCATTAACACCGTTTCCACGCACTGAAGGCCTCCTACGCTCCCCACGTGCATCATCTCCGTCATTCACCATAAGGTCTGTTGGGGGCGTGTGGGATTCTTGCAACTGTACAGAAGACGGGATCCGAGGAACTGAGGGACTTGCTGGGGTCGTGAGTGGAGCCGGGATGTGAACCCAGGCCTGCCCGTCCCCAGTGCTCCCAACCACAGTACCAAGCAATTCCGCGAGGCATTGGGAGCCAGCCCTGTTTCGGTGGGCTTGCCCCTGCCGGATCCAGGACGTGTGGGTTCCCAGGGACTCCCCTGGATGGGATGTGACTGTGAGCCAAAGCTTGGGTAGGGGGTGTTTCTCTCACAGACCTGCTGAGAGGCTTCTTTAAGCTCTGTTCTGGGATGTGAGGACCAAAGAGGACACACGTGCAGGGAAACCTTGACCCACATCCTGGGCACCTGCCCCTTTGCTGGGATATCAGAGGAAGGGGCCCG